TATAGATGCTTAAAATTATAAAGAACCTTTGTAGGTAGTTTTTTTTTATTTCTTAATATAGAAATAAAAATTTTTAATAATAAAGGATATTTGAATTATATCCTCACAAATAATTTAGAAACTTATCTTTAATTATACCTACAAATAAATTCGGCAGAGGATCTGTAATGTTTTGGGGCTGCTTTAGTTGAAATGGAATTGATCCTTTAGTAGAAGTAACAGAAACATGAATTTTGACATATACATTAATATTCTTGCCACTTATCTTATACCTTGGGCTCGTGAGAACTTAAATGTTATATTTTAATAAGATGGTGCAATGTGTTACACATCTTCATATATAACTTGATGGGCAGCGACTCACAATCTTCAAATTTTAGATTGGATAGTGCAAAGCCCAGATCTTAATTCAATCAAAAATCTATAGGATTATTTGAACTATCAAATATACAAAAGAAATCCTCTACCTAAGTCCAAATTAGAGTTAGTAGAAGCAACACAAAATGAATGAATAAATATTAGCTTAGATACGATTCACCACTTAATTTTGAGCATGCCCAATCATATAAAAGAAATTATTAGAATTAAAGGTAAATATACAAAATATTAAATTATAATTATAAAATTTTAGTTATTAAAATTAAAGAATTTAAATTTTATTTTAAAAAAAATTTTTTTTATTTTTTAATAAAAAAATTTTTCTTTATATGTTATTATAAAAATGTAAAAAAAAATAGTAAAAAATTATATAATAATTTTTTTTGATAAATTATAGTAGGATATGTATAATATATTAATCATATTATTTTATATTATATATATATTAACCTATAAATCTATAGTATAGTGATTAGTGCTTCATAGGTTAAATCACAAGATACTAATTCAATTCCATATAAAAGCAATTGAATAGAATTAATATAATATTTGGTACTATAATTAGTTTAGTAATATTTTTCATAAGAAGTCATTTCACATGCTAATCTTGCAAGTATTGAAATTATAATCTTTCTGTTAAGGTATAATGATATAATAATTGTTTGAATAGTGTTATAATAATTATTTATTGAAAGAAGTTTATAGAATTATTCATATATTTGGATATATAGATTGAATTATATTTTATCTTAATCAATTCCAAACTATCAATTTCTTTTTCCTATTGATTTTCAAATAAGAAAGCTTTAAAAAAGAACATTAAATTAATACTAATATTTTATATAACATGGCTATTTGATGGCTTATTGTATATATAAGAGTTGTATTTTATTTGACATTTATGTTTTTAGATTTGATAGCTTAAATCAATCGATTTTATAACTGAAGTATTTATTAGAAAATTAAGAATCCTAGGAGCTTGCTTAGTATGGTCTATATATTTTTTAAGAATTTACATTCCATTTGACTATAAGAGCTTCTAGATTTGATAGTTAGAATTAATTAGTAGACAAAAATCAAAGCATTTATTAAGAAATATATATATCATATTAAGTTTTTTTTGTTATATTAATTGTATAAACAAAAAGGTATAATGTAATAAGTAACTTAGGTAAATAGTTAATAGTATTTACTATTCTTATATAAAAATTGGACCAGTAAATTAAATAGTTTAAAACTAATAATAGAATTTCCATTTTCTAAATAGGTTTTTCCAAAAATATAAATCCACTTCAAGAGTATTATTGGTATTATTAAAATAATAAAAGTAAAATAGGTTAGCATTTAGCTATAGTTAGTATTATAGATAATATTTGATATAATTATGATATTATATATATATTAATAAAGTAATTGGCATCTAATGCCCATTCTATTATAAAATAATATATATATATATATATATTATATATATGCCATATACAATATATTATTTGTCATATTTACACTATATAATATACAGTATATACTGTAATTACATTATTTTTAATATAAAAATATTTTAAATTTAAATTTTTGATTTTAAAATTATTTCAATCCTAATCACACCAGTGGATATGTTAAAAAGTCGAGGCATTTCCCGAGAATAAATTTGTGGAGTTTGGCTGTAATTTGTTTCTAACGTAATTTGGTCACGAACTTATTTCAATTATTTATTCATTTTTGGCAAAAAGTAGATTTGTGTTTTATTCCCCTGAGTATATGCGCTACAGATCATTCCTTATTGAGCTTAGGAATGACTCGCATGTATCGCACAAATAAAAAATTCGAAAATTCCTTTTTGGTAAAACAAAGTTTTAAAATTTATTATTAGATAGACGACAGTGTCATGACCTTTTTTCAAAAAAATGGATACCATAGAATTTTATAGTACTCGAGGAACATACGGTATATTTAGTAACTTTTACAGATTTGATGTTACGATTGACGATAAAATTTGGCCAACTACCGAGCATTATTTTCAAGGTATTCCACGTTTGATCAATTAAAGTGACCATTCCAATACCATTTCCTGAATACAATTTGTTTCAACCTCGTTCATCAGCTCAGAAATTTCCGGATCAACCCGAAGTTCAAGAAAAAATTCGTCGTCTTCCCAGTCCAGGTGATGCAGCCCGAGCTGGTAGAACTCAGTCCGGTCTACGCTCAGATTGGGAAGAGGTTAAAGATGATGTGATGCTCACAGCCCTGCGGGCAAAGTTTACCCAAAATGAAGATTTAAAAGAAATATTATT